TATATATATAGCCCTATATATATATTATATGAAGACGGTGTTACTGCATATATCATAGTATATGTGTTTTTGTATGTTTAATAATGCTACTGGATATACTTTCAGTTAATAATTTCGATGTGCGTCTTGTCGACGGAGTTTACTTGAATGTCGGCCGATTAGAAGTATATTATAATGGGACGTGGGGTCGTGTATGCGACAGGCATTGGAACGATGACAGTGCTGACGTTGTGTGCCGTCAATTAGGATATGCGAGAGCAGATCCATGGTTAGGCAGTTACACCATCCAAGAAGGCTCTGGTCCACTCCATTTCGAATACTTCTCGTGCACAGGCTCCGAGAGTAATTTACAAGAATGCACTAACATGATGTGGGATGTGAATCATGATTGTGATAGCACAGTAAAAATACAATGTACATATGAAAGTAAGTTTTGGCTTTTACTATTATAATACTATAATGGACCTTTCCAGCGTGTAGGCCTATCAGGCTTTACAACTTACCAATAAGAACGTGTTATTAAATAGCCAGGAAAACGCATATGTCCTACAAGCACGAATTTTAATATCCCACTAACTTTGCAACAACGGCCAAATTTTGGGGCTTACCAGAAAGATCTATTAGCCATTGGCCATAATTAACACAGAGAAAAATAGGTCTACTCTAATTATGATGATCTTTAGCGGGCCGAAACACTAGGCAACCTCGCTCCTTCATCGATAATAATAATGATAATGTAGGCCTATCATGTGCACTAATACACATAGGCCCAGTCTATCTCGTTAGAAAGAAACATTTTACCCATCAAATTGCCGTTGGAGCTGAAACCTATTTTACTTTTCATTTACAAAGAACTTATATCGCTTACAAAATGTTATAACTTTTCAGGTGGCTTATATTATGCACAAGGTGAAGCACGACTGATCGGAGAGCAAATCAAAGGAGCGAACAAAGGCGGAATTTTGGAAGTTTATCTGTTTGGAGAATGGCGAACAGTTTGCTCTCGGGGTTGGGATAATGATGAAGGGAAGGTTGTTTGCAAACAACTTGGGTATGAAGGGGCAGTAGACCACACCGGACACCTCGATGAGTATGACAAGTCCTTAGTGATTTCTCGAACTGTTCATGGGTACGCAATTGATTGTACCGGCAAAGAATCAACATTAGAGGATTGCGTCTTCTATGCTAACAAGTTAAATATTGGATGCACCCACGAGGACGATGTTGCACCGACTTGCGGGAAAGTTGGTAAGTTAATTATACAACAGAGAAAACAACTTAGTTGTTAATTAGCTAATTGTCCTCCGTGCTAACAAGTAATAATAGTGACAATTTGTATAAAAGATGATGATGTTGATGACGATGCTGATGATGCTGATTTGATGAATAGCGATGCTGATGCTATGACGATGCGATGATGATGATGATGGTGATGATGAAAAAGATGATGAGGATCAGATTAAGGATGAGGATATGATACAATTTGGGATGGTATGGTTGTGTGGGTGATGATAATGGTAATAATGATGATAAGAAATAATACAGATAAGAAGTATACACATAATAGGCCAATTTACTGCAATAAGTATGAGAAAGTTTACCTTACCATTTTCTAGAGAGGGAAAACCTTGAATTTTGAAGAACTTAAAAGTCATTAAAAGACACCTCAAAAGTCGGGAAAGCTTTTTTTTCCACCATCTAGGAATTAAAAATATGCACGGGGGAGTTAAAAGTGGGCAACCTTGAATTTTTAAGAACTTAAAAGACACCTAAGAAGTCGGAGAAGCTCATTTCCCGCCATCTAGGAATTTTCATCAAAATTTTCCCGGGAGAGGACCCCGAAAACCCCCTTTCTTTCTATCTTTTTTTTGTAAAAAAAATATTGATCCCCCACCCCCTGCACCCAAATTTGAACCCAGATCCGCCTCTGAATAATATATGTATGATGATAATGATATTATGCCATTGATGATGGCGATGATGATAAGAACGATAAGTGTTGATAACGATAACAATATGTGATTGCTATGTTAATGATGATGATGGTAAATCGATCATTATGTCATCACTGTGTCTTTCTCTTGACTTATAATACTATTTTCACAGGATTTAGTGGTGGGGCCATTGCTGGTATTGTTATAGGAAGCTTGTTTGGATCTTTCCTTTTTTATCACATCTGTTTAAAACCAACATGTGAAAAGCATAAGGCGGCCAAAGCAAGGAGGACACGTGCTGCAAGTCAATCACCAAGGGCAACCAGTGGAACATCTGCCACAAATGCGAATGCGACGGTTGCTACTCCAGACACGACTAGCGAACCAGCCACAAGTAACACTGATATTGAACTTGATCTAGCTGTTCCCTCGGCCACGCCCTCCTCTGAACCACCAAGTTATGAAGTTGCTGTGATATACACATCTTAATTTCGATGTGCGTCTTGTCGACGGAGTTTACTTGAATGTCGGCCGATTAGAAGTATATTATAATGGGACGTGGGGTCGTGTATGCGACAGGCATTGGAACGATGACAGTGCTGACGTTGTGTGCCGTCAATTAGGATATGCGAGAGCAGATCCATGGTTAGGCAGTTACACCATCCAAGAACTGTCTCTTATACACATCTAGATGTGGATAAGAGAAAGGGCCTATAGATAGGCACA